CTTGCGGAGCGCGCGAACAACCCATCCACGTAGTTGTTGCGAGTCAGAGCCGGGGTGATTCCGTACCCACCAACCACTTCCTTTTAACTCTTCCCGCGTCCCTTCCTTATTTGTGGGAGGCTGAATAGGGCAGTTCACACCGGGCTTAGTCAGCTAAACGGCCGGCCGTCGACTGAGCCCTTCAGGATGTCCCCGAGGTTTTGGCCCACGCGCGCGGGGATCCAGCTCGGGGCCTGCGTTCTCTTGGATGAGGCTGGAGCGGAGGGAGGAAGGGCTCCGTCGATGGCTGTTTAACAGACAGGAGGGTCCCTTGGGTGGGGTTGTGTATGTGACTTTGGTTAATGAAGGCTTCCGAGCCCCAGTCCGAGAGGACTGGCCGTCTTTTGGTGCCAAGAATGCGCCAAGGAGGAACCTGTGGGGTGGGATGGGCTTGGCCCTACCTGGCAAGGAAACTGCTTGCCGTTTGCGCTTTAGGGAGGGAAGAGAGACACCCCCGAACCCCGGACTTGCCTATACTAGTAGAGTGTGATGAAGTGGATCTGAAAAGGGCCTCCCTGCCCAAACCCATCTGGACCAAAGCCCCACCTTGAAGTGAAGCTCACTCCCTGCCCTCTTTCCCAACGTTATCATTACCCATTCTCCGCTGGACAGGAAAAGTGTCGGTGGTGTCTAGTGCCATTAAAGAAAACGGGGCCCTGTTAGGACTTCTAGAATGCGTGTGGGGACATTCACTTCTAGCCTCTCCTGCAGCCCATCTCTAAGGACTGGCCTTGTTGCCATTTTGAAAGGCCTTAGAAAGTGTGTGGAGGTGGTTTTTAGTGGAAAATAACAAGTTTTAGGCCAAGAAAGTAGGAGTGCAAAGCCCTGATAGTGGGCAGGATTAACGGCTCAGTTAAGAGGCTGCAGACTCCCCCGTGTCATTGTTTTTCTCTTGGCGGAGAGAGGAGAGGGAGAATAAGCACATGGAATAGAAGGACCCTTCCCCACAGTACAAGGCTTTCTGTGGTCTGAGCCAGCCTAGTCCTCCACTCTAATCCTTTACCACAATCTGACTGGCCCTGGTGTCCACGGCTCTAAACTTTTCTTCTAGCTCCTGACCACTTCCTACCACCTTCCTGCTCTTCTGACAGGGAGCCAACCAGCCGCCCAGAAAGCCCCTGCAGCCGTCCGTGGCCATCAGTGCTCCATATTCTTTGTCCCAGCAGCCACGGGGTTTGCCTGAGCCCATCTGCACCCAGCAACCTTCCCTGAGTCTGCCCATGACCCATTTTACACCTACCCGCACTTCTACAGCCAGTGCATGCCTACACCACTTATCAGGATGCAACCATCTGTCCCTGTGCCTGTCTCCACGTCCCAGACTGCCCCTTGAGGGTATTAACCGTCTAATTTCTCCTTATATTCTCCTCAGCATGTAGTAGTTACTCAGGAAATGTTTGCTGAGAGATGAACCGGACTGAGTATGTGAGTCAGGGTCCTGGCAGGAAACCGATGGCACATCTCAATTGAGCAATTTAGTAACGAACAGGACCTAGTATTTATAAAGTTGTGGGCAGGGTGTGGGAAACCTCAAGGGTTTTGCAGTGCCCAGGCCTGAAGGGGAGAGAGCTACTGAAATCCAGGGCGATAAAAATGCATAGAAAAGGCAATCTGATTAGGGCTACGGCCTTGAGTTGAGGGACTGACCTGCAGGAACTCCACAGAGAGGAAGACTGGGAGGCAGAAAGATTCCAGCCTTACTCTCCTCCCCTCCAATCTCCTGCCCAGTCCGAATAGCTTAACTCAGTCAGAAGCCAGAGGGGAGTTCATGTAGTCCAACAGCTCAGCCTCCTAGGGAACACCACAGAGCGGAGAAAGGTAAGAGTAGGTCTACAGAATAAACAAAATTCACTGAATCTACCCGTCTCATTTTTTTTCAGACATTTTTGGTTCTTGAGTGCTGCAAATATTTTGTTTAATTTTATGCTGTTTCTCTTCTTTTGGAACACTTAGTCAGTAAAAAATTTGTTAAGGAAAAGTTTATTGATTTTGAGAGAGAGAGGAAGGGAGAGGTAGAGAGAAACATGTGAGAACACAACATCAATTGAACCGCAACCTCCTGGTGCAAGGGACACACCCGCCAGGGCTTAACTAGAATTTTTTAACAACGTGTCATCGTATCCCTATTCTTCTCTCTACAAGTATCTACTTAACTTCATCATCCCCTTGACCCAACACCTTCACTTCACTCTTTTTAAAAAAAAAATATTTTATTGATTTTTTACAGAGAGGAAGGGAGAGAGATAGAGAGTTAGAAACATCGACGAGAGAGAAACATCGATCAGCTGCCTCCTGCACATCTCCTACTGGGGATGTGCCCGCAACCCAGGTACATGCCCTTGACCAGAATCAAACCTGGGACCTTTCAGTCCGCAGGCCGACGCTCTATCCACTGAGCCAAACCGGTTTCGGCTTCACTTCACTCTTGAATTGATTTTGCTCAGCAGCAGCAGCAGCAACAGCAGCAGCAAATAAGAATTCCTGGGATTCCAGACCCCATCTAATGAAAGCATGGCCAGATGGCATGGATGGTGTTGAATCATCTTGAAGTTACAAACTAAACTGAGAGAAGTTCAATTTGTAAGTTGTCCTTTTAGGACCTAACTTTGATGAAACTTGTCACTTGAAACAGAAAAAAATTCATTAAATATTATCATAATGTTAACAACCTTTTAAAAGAGTTGTTCAATTAAAAAGTTTCCCACATGAGATGGTAAAACAATTTGTTACCAAAGTACTTAGAGAGACTAGGTAACCTGTCAGCAATGCTATCCAAGGGATTCCCAATATGTGTGTATAGGGAGGATGGGGTGTGTGGGCGGGGCATTCAGCCTTCCTAAAAACCCTGATTCTGGAAACATATACATGTGGACACAGATTTTTATTGTCCCTGGTGTAGTCATTGAATGCAGAGTGAGGAGATAAGGTGTGAAGACGTGGGAAAAGAAAAGCCGCACCCCAACCATCATGAGAGTTGGAGCCAGGTGCCCTGTATGCCATCTGTCTATTAATTGTTCACACAGTAATGTTGCATTTCTTTTGGTGCACACAGAGGTCCAGTATTCTAATGTACATAGTAGCTTACTTTGTGGGATAAGTGGGCCATTTTTTTTAAACTTTCAAATGTTGACTGTGTTGGTTGTCCCTCCATTCTCCACCTTTCTTTGCCTTCCTTTGTGCCCAGTCACACTGTGCGCCCTTGCTTCTCCAGGCCTACGTGAGATATTGGTCGCCTGCTCTTGCTTGTCCTGGGTCTTCATCCCCCGCGGTTGGGTTCTCTTAAGTCTGCTTGCGTTTCTGTAAATAGTCCCTTGATTAAACTCTCTGTTTTGCACCAGCTGTTTCCTGCAAGACCCTGACAGAGACAAGTGGAAAAATACTCTTGCCTAATA